GGGCGAGAGGGGGGGGGGGGGGGGGGGGGGGGGGGGGGGGGTTAGAGTTTCCAGGCCTTCCTCGTGCCCGCTCCCCCCACCCACCGCGGTGAAACCCTAAACCTTTGGGTTGCATAAGGCCCCGGCACCGCCGCCCCCTACTCCTCTCCCCTCCCCCCTTACATAACATCCCCTGGAGGCAATGAGAGGAGGGGCCGGCCCGCCCAGGGACCCCTTCCCTGCCGGGGTACTATTTAAAAAACCTCCAGACACACTCCCTCTAGCTAGTCCAGGACCCTCTCCCCCGGAGCGCCCCTGCCTCCGCCGCCCCCTCTCCCCTCCCCCGGAAGGGCAGGGTGTGGCCGCCAGGACCGTACTTGCCCCCATTACCCCGTTAGCACGGTTCCCTCCAGTGCGGCCAGGACCCCAGCTCACACCCACCTGGTGCCGGGTGTGTGCGGGGGGTGCTGAGGACAGGGGAGCAAATCAGTGCGTCCGTGCCCCACAGCCGGCGGCGCTCTCTTCCCAGCGCCCAGCACACACCGGCTCCAGTCTCCGATCAGCTGGCGGCGTAGTGACGCACAAGTTGCGATTGCACCGCCCAGGGCCAATCACCGCCTACTGGTGTGCAGCGTGACCACACCCACTCGGGGGCGCCAGCCCTTCGCCCTGATCCCGCCTCTCCGGCTGTCTTAGCTCTGATCGACAAGGAGGCCACCCCTTTGCCGAAGTAGAGTTGCACTAAGCCACGCCCACCAACTCAAGAGCTGGCCAATAGGTGAAAAGGTGTGGCTCGGCCCTCCGCTAGGCTACTTGCTTTGAAGAGCGCTACGTCAAACCAGGGTCCGACCGAGCAGCAGGAAGTAAAGGCGTGTGTGTTTGCTGTGCATTCTGGTCCGTGTAGTTCTCGAGCTGACACCCCGTTCCCAGAATTCAGAGCGCTCTGTGAGTTGGCATTTTTAAATCATCTCTGAATCCATCCCCGGCGAAATCCTTAAAGGGCTACAGCCCCTCCTTTTTGGAGCCGTGAGTGCTTCTTTTAGACAACCCCAAAATGGATTCGCTGACCTCTGCAGGAGGCTCTCTAAGGAAAAGTGGAGCAGGCGAAGCAGCAGGAGTGGGGAGAACTGAAGGTGGAAATCAGTCCCCAGGGCAGCAGACTCTGCCACTGGATGGGAACTCCTGAGGGCCTTTGGGGTAGGGAGGACTGCTCGCCTCACCAAGCCCCAGCTTTCACTGGAGAGATCTAGTCCACCCCTCCTGGGGGTGGGGGTGGGGGGAAGGCTTCCTGATCAGGGGACTTTTCGTGGAGATGTCTGGTCCCAGTCGCAGGGATAGAGCCGCTTCCTAACAAAAGATTCATACTTTTTCGCGGCTGTGAAGCTGGGGAAGTCCCGGCCGGGCCGAGGACATCGCTCTCATGGTCCTCCCAGCCCTCGACCCTCCCCCAAAGGCCCTTAATAAAATGGTGTGCTAAGTACAGTCTTCACCTGAGGGTAGATGGAAGACTTCTGGTCAGAAACTAGGGGATGGCCGTGTCAAAGTACAACTGGCCGCAACCCCATCCTCTGCCTTAATACCCCCATTCAGTACCGCCCTTCAGAAGCTTTGCACTGACTCAGACCTACTTAGGGAAGAGATTTCGAAGGTAGAGACCAATGAGGAGGCTGTTCCTTCCCTCGGGGGCCAATCAGAGCTTAGAGGGGCGGGGGATGGGCAAAAACTGAAAGGAACCCAGTGACTTGGCAAAAGCTGCTCCACTGCCTATTGAAAGGGGCAAGTGTGGGACCCACCCCGTAGCATCACTCCTCCGCCCTTCCCCCTTCCCAGCTGAACCCACACGCGTAGACGGGGATCCACGACTTTTCCACGAGCTCCAAACTGGGGGTGAGGCTCACTCAGCCGAAAGGATTTGGCTGGAGTGCGAGACAGTTCCTTCTGTATTCAATACGGGCTCAGCCAAGCGATTGCTCTGGTTTCTAGGAGCACCACGATTCTCCACTTGTGTTCAGAACATTGTGCCTTTAAGGAAACTTTCTGCCTTCCACCCCAGTAACAGCTGACTGCTGGAAAGTGTGACCTCAGGGGACAAATCAGCTGTTACCACATCCTCCTCTTGGCCTGCCCTGCTCCATCTGATGACTCTCTCCTCCCCCACCACAGGCGGGGCGGGAATGAAGGAGACAGAACCCCAAATATGGGGGACCTGCTTGTATGTTCCTTCCTCTTCCCTCTCTCTCACTGTCACCATCTGCCTCCCTCCTTTCTCCCTCCCCCCTGCTGGTTAGTTCTTCAGAGGTTCTGAGCTTGGAACCAGAGGTATTTCCTGTCCGCGGCGCCAGTCAGCTCAGACCCACCCTCCCTGGTCTAGTCAGGGAGGCCAGTACTGGGGAGGCCCAGAATGGAGGCTGGAGGGGTGTGCGGGGGGCTCCGGGAATGGGAACTGGGGAAAGTCCAGGAAAGCTTCGGACTAAGCCTAGAGGAGTGGAAGGGCTGTGGAAAGCAAGCCTCCGGGTGTCAGAACCCTGCTCCCTGGGCCGGCCAGCTGCCCTTTGCTCCCTGCTCAAGTCGCCCAGTTCCTCCCCAGACAGGGACCTGTTAAGTGAATCGCCCTGGCCTTGCTTCTAACTCCACTTCTGTTTTCAGATGCCATCTTGGCTGCTTCCGTTTTTACACTCTTACCCTCTACAGCAAGGGAGCTAACGTGGCGCTTCCCCGGGCTGCAGGTGGAACGGTACTGGCCCCAGGAACCAGCGGCTTTGGCTGGGAAGCCCTGCAGGAAGACCTAAGTAAATATTTTGCCCCCAGCTCTGAGCTGAGAATCAGGGTCACTCCAGGACAAGCTGAGTGTGAAGTCCCAGGAATGACTTGGCAAGGTTGGGAGAAACTGATCAGGGCCTTGGCCAAGCTTGGAAGGAAGAGAAATCTCACCAGCTGACCCGTTCCCATTATCCTTGGCATAGAAGTCCCATCCCCTTTCCACCCAAAGGCCCTGTGGTAGGCTTGTCTCTCTCTGGTTCTGCTAAGTCTCCATCCCCTCACCCTCCCATCCTAGGGCAAAAGCACAGGCTATTTCAGTCCAGGGTTTCTCAATCTCAGCACTATTGACGTTTTGAATTGAATAATTTCTTGCTGTGGGGCTGTACTGTGGGGGCGAGCATCCCTGGTTCACTAGATGCCATTAGCAACACAACTTGACCCCTCCCCATGATAACCAAAAGTCTCTTCAGACATTACCAAATAGTCCCTGGGATCCCGAATGGCCCCCAGTTGAGAACCACTGAGTTAGACAAACCTGGATTCAAATTCTAGCTCTTACCAGCCCTGAGCTTGATGAAATACTTAACACCTCTGAGCCTCAATGTCCTCATCTACAAAACTGAATGAATAATAAGTTCATATTGTAGGGATTAAAGAAGGAAATGCTAGCACAGTACCAGGCTCACGGGCCCACAGTTGGTGCATTAAACATTAGCTTCCTTCACTTCTCTCCCTGCCAGATCAGCAAAGGCTAACCTCCCCCGGCATGGGCTGACTGCCGGGGCAGCTGCAGCTTGCCTCCCTGACTATCCAAGCCATGACCTCCAGACACTCAATATGGAGGTTGGCAAAGGGGGCTGGCTAATTTGGTCCTAGATTCTCCAAAGCCCAAAGGTGCTTGGGTTGGGATTCAAGGGAAATTTGGGAATAGATCTGTTACAAAGCCTTATATCTCAAGATGTGGCCTGCAGATTGCCTGCATCAGAATTACCTGGGGTGCTTGTTAAAAATTCAGATTCCTGTCCTAGCCAGTTAGGCACATGCCCGGTTTCAGGCTCGATCCCCAGTAGGGGGTGTGTAGGAGGCAGCCAATCAATGGTTCTCTCTCAACATTAATGTTTCTATTTCTTCCTCCCTCTCCCTTCCTCTCTAAAATAAAAAAAAAATATATTTAAAAAAATTCAGATTCCAGCCCTGGCCAGTGTTGCTAGCAGTGGTTAGAGCCCATACACCAAAGTGTCTCGAGTTTGATTCCTGATCAAGGGCACATACCTGGGTTGCGGGTTGTGCCCCGGTCAGAGCACGTGTGGGAGGCAACCAGGAGATGTGTCTCTCGTGCCCATGTTTCTCCCTCCCTCCCTCCTTCCCTTCCACTCTCTCTGAAAAGCAATGGAAAAAATATCCTCAGGTGAGGATCAACAAAAAATAAAAATCCAGGCTACTGAATCAGAAGTACATCATAAAGTTTGAAAACCACCGTTTTAGGGCTCAGATTGGGGAAGGTGTCATTGCCCCAGAAATCTTAGTGCACCCAGTACCCACCATTGCAAGGAGTTTCTTGTTCAAGAGAAAGAAAGAATTCTGATTGGGTTTCCTCTCTTGGAAATACATGTTCATTGGCAGCCAAGGTTGATCTGGCTCTGTATGATTCATTAATCCTAACCAGTTCATTAATTCTCTTCTTTGCTCTCACTGTTCTGCAGATTCAGGCTATTACTAGAACAGTTAAGATTTATTTTAGAATCTAAGCTACCTCTAAATGTTTTAAATATTCCCTTATATATTCTGGCATTGAAAAGGCATAACTTAAAGTGAAAATTAAAAGGAAAATCTTATGGAATCATAAAAAACAAAAAAGGAATTCTGAGGTAAGGTTAGTTACACCCAAGGTCATTGTTGCATTGCAAGCCAAAACCACTAGAGGGCAGGGCACACACAGACTTGCAGAAAGAAAAAGTAGTGCCTGTTCAGTCTAGGTAAACTGAGACCAGAGTCAAGACCAGATGGACCTAATTTTATTGGTACTCAGAAGCAAGTACTACCTCCTGACCATCAAAACCTATCCTCTAGCCACAGGAACACAGACCAAAGTTGGGGATGAGAGATTGACAGGAACACCTAATTTCCCTGCTGGGAAAAACAATAGTGCAATGACCAAGGAGTACAGGGAACACTGGTTTTAGATAGGCCTCGATTTGAACCCTGGCTCTACCACTTCTTAGCTATGTGACCTTGGGCAAGTTACCTAAGGTGGCCATTCTCCTAGTCCAAATGAGGATTAAACAAAACAAGGTATGTGAAGTGTTTAGCGTGGTGCCTGGATCCTAATCAGTGGTTGTAAGTTACTACCCAGGTCCTATGACCAAGCACTTCAAGGGTTCCAGCTGCTCCTGCAAGACAGAAGACACAGCAGCGCTGGCCGGGTCGCTCAGTTGGTTGGAGCGTGGACCTGTACACCAAAAGGTTTTGGGTTTGATTGCCGGTCAGGGCACATACCTAGTATTCGGGTTCAATCTCTGGTAGGGAGGCAGCCGAACCATGTTTCCCTCTCACATCCATGTTTATCTCTCTCTAAAAACAATCAGGAAAAACATATCCTCGGGTGAGGATTAAAAAAAGAGAGATGGAATCAGATTATAGCTGAGCCATTCCTGCCTCCTCTCTAATTTGGACTGTAGTTTTTCTTACGTGACCTCAAAGAACCCCTTACACCTCTACACCAACTACTACACTCTCCTTCTCAGGGTGAGACTCAAAACACAGCCAGTGGTTTCACTGCAGACAATGGCCTTTCTGTCCTGCAAATGAGTCAGAACCAAGACCCCCTGGAGGAGTCATGGAGTTCTGGTGCCAGCAGTCTGGCTTTCGCTTACTGTCCTGCGCTGCACCTCCCCCCACTGTGGTATCTGCAAGGCTCTGCCACAGCAAGCAGGCTGCTTGGCAGGGCAGAAGCTGATCTCAAACAGGAAGTCTTAGGGAACATTTCCTCCCAAGAACTCCAGGCCTCTGAGCTTGGGCCACGTCTCTCCTGAAGGTCGCCCAGAATTTAAAAAAAAGGGGGGGGGGCGGGGAGGATGGAAGAGGGTTGCCAGTTGGGAGGACTCCGGGGCAGAAAGTCCGTGCACCAGCTTCTAAGTCTCCATTCTGCCACCTGGACAAACCTCTTTGATGGCTCTTGGTTAAAACCTGTAAAATATAAACAGTAATAACTGCCGTCCTCCCTAGATTCTGTGAGGCCAAATGGAATGTTACTGATGACATGTTTTGGAAAATTAAAAGTTCCTTCTTTTGGAAGCCAGTATGGAGGCGATGAAGGGACTTGATATCAAAAGTCGTCAAAAGCCCCTTATCTGTAAAAGCGGGAGGGGCGATCAGTCCCCTAAAGGCTGGTCTCTCTGGATAAAGCCCTCCCTTAGATCTACGATCTGTGTTCGGGATGGTGCAGGAGGCAGCGAGGGGAGGGCAAATCCCGTGGGCAGTTCGGCATCCCCTTCCTCTGCACTGTTGGGGCCCACTAGGGCCCCCTTCAGCTCCGGAGGAAGCAAAGCCGCCACCAGCTCTGAGCAGAGCGCCTGGGCCGCGGGGCGGTGGCGCGCGCGG